TCATAAATAAGTCCACTTCATCCAAACCCTGCAACTTATCCTCCAACTCATCCCTCACCACTCTATCGCCTATCGATTATTTGTACATAAGTTATGGATTACATGAATGCAAACAATTGGTTGTCTACTCGACAAACCGGATGTATTGATAACTCGTGTTGTCTTTCGTGGACCACATTCTACAATCTGATGGAAGAGATCAGATGTGACCGAATTTCTGCCCTCTTTTGCAATCTCTGCGTACGAAGCCGTCAGCGATTCCTCGTCATTGGTTGGCAACTGACTTGCATCAGATGTTTGTCTTTCAATACACTCTTTTGAGGACCAATTATCACATAAAATATTTGTTTGACTGCTTTCGAGGCAAAACCATTCCTTTATTAAATCGTGAGTTATATTCTTCATCAGCCATTCTTTGCCAAAAGCCGGATGTGTTAAGAGATACTTATTTATATAATCCTGTTCTTCGCTTTCCTTTACATCATATTTGTCATCAATTTCCTTAACATTGGTCTCAATGTTATAGTCTTTTGTATTCAATTCATCTTTATTCATTTCTTTTTCAATTTAAACAGTAAAAAGCATTGCTTTATTAATTTGCATACTTTTGGTTAAATAACTATTTAATGGAAACAAAACACGAATTCATGTGGGAATATCATTGTCTACTTTCACAACATTAAAACTACAATAAATTGTTTCTCTTAATAAATTAATTTTCCNTTAATTTGCATACTTTTGGTTAAATAACTATTTAATGGAAACAAAACACGAATTCATGTGGGAATATCATTGTCTACTTTCACAACATTAAAACTACAATAAATTGTTTCTCTTAATAAATTAATTTTCCATTCACTTTAAGAAAACCTATTTGTGTATTCTTGAGAGCAAACAAAACAAAAATAATAAGTGAAAGAAAACATAAAAACGATTTCTTAAGTGCTAAACATTAACATAACATAATGTTAAGTAAAGTTTAGCACATAAAAATATTTAATAATAACATATTTAGGATAACTTATAAACATGAATTAGATCATCAAATGTATTGGCTCGTAGTCATATAAATGCATAATCATATGTATTTGCTGATTGCTTTCATTTTATCATAAATACACTATAAATATTGTAAAACATTAATTTACAAATTTTAATAAAAATGAACTTATTCATAAAATTAATTCTGTAATAATATATAAAAAATTTTGTAATTTATAATGTTACGGTAAATATAAATTTGAAATAGATGTAACATAATACTATATATTATCATTTTTTAATATGGTTCTTATATAAATATTTTGAATTCAATAAAAGGTTTGTGTCAAATACTATATTTACACAAGACTTGTCTAAATTGCTATACAAATATTATTTTTATGTCCAAAGAAAGAATATATTAAATTAACAAATATTCTAAGAATCTAAATAAAAGTATTTTTTTAAATATAATATTCTTTTTAATATAATTTAAATGGATTCTATAAATAAAATAGACTCAGATATTAGTGTTAATTAAAAGATTAATATAATTATTTAATAAAATATAAGTAAGTGAATTTGTATTTATTCAGTAATTCAGTAATTTAATAAATTCGATAACTGTTTTTATGAGATACATATGTCTTTTGACAATTGGTTAACTGGTTTATATTAAATTAATTCTTATTCTTATATTGTTTGCAATAAAAATATACACAATGTCAAAATTTCAATTCTTTAACATTAAAATTATTTCAATTAAAACAAACAATAAAAATATAGAATATTTATAAAAAATATTTGTATTTATGAATAGATATTAGAGATAAAGCATTGAGTAAGTGTGAGAGAGAGTAGTGTTTTTCACATACCTATAGATGTGCTGAAAGCGTGGATCTCATCATAATTTGTTTGTCTCGGAGTTGGCATTCATTGCCTTCATTCCCGCACTCAAACCAAATGAATTCCATTCGACTCTAATTTGGACTTTTTTGCCAAAACTTATTGATCTTTTGGTATTTGCAGCGCTTCTGTGCAGCACTGCATCACTCCGTCGCTCATCCACTGCTTCAGCTCTGCTCTGCTCTCTGTCTCTCTGTCTCTCTGTCTCTCTGTCTCTCTTTCTCCCTCTCATCCACTTTCACTCCACTCTATCTCATCACTAAATGGACGGCTCTTTTGAAACCAATGAGCAAATGAGTCAATCGATAATTAAAACCAAATGAATTAATCGATTCGTTGATTAACTTATATATTTTAATCAAAATTTTAATTATAAACATCAGTTAATTATTTATATTTTAATAGAATTTACCGAAATTTTGAAAATTTATTTGCATACACGTTATAATGAAATTTATTTTTAAACAAAATCACTTAATAAGCATTAACTAGAGCAGTAAGAAATAAAACTAAACATATAAAAATATTGAATAGAATCTTGAGTAAATGTTTGAAAGAAATATATTAATATATAATTCGCATAAACCCTAAAGTCAAATAAACTCTAAAAGTCTAGAAAATAAAAAAATAGTTTGGTATACAACAAATTTTAAAATATAAAATTTCATTATGCAGTATTACTTTATATTATATTAATTGAATGTTTAATTTAAAGATATAAATGCTTTAGAATATTATTTTAATATGTATAATTCATAAACTACATTAAAATGTGGTTAAATAAGTATGCTTTTAAGATTTAAATATAACCTTGATATATATTTTCACACAAACTTCACTTTATATAATTTTAATGCAATTCAGTTGAAAGGAATCGATTCTCTGATATTTATAATGCAATTTCAAGAGCTTTCAACAAAAAAATAAGGTTTTATTTTATTGATAGAATAAACTCATGGCATCAAATGGTTACAAATCTTATTATAAATGAGAAATTTTAGTGGCAATGAAGTCGTATTCATATTATCATACATTTGAGTGCTTAGATTTAAATATATCTTGTTTTATATTTACTGCATATACAAGTTTTACAGAAAATATAGGATTTAAAATTACAATTTATTATATAAAACTTATACAAAATAAAAGTTTTTCCAAAATATTTTAAAAATATTATTGAACTTTTAATAGTAATAAAATAATATCAACTATTATTTTTGTTACAATAAAAATAATATTTAAATGATGCAAATATTAATATTGTCTGGATTATTTAAGGTAGATAATTAGAAAGGCATATATATATACCTACTTATCATAATTGGAATACCTGCCCACATATACTGGTACTCAATATATTGTCAATTGAATCAAATTAATATGAGATTCTCGTGCAATCAATAGTCATTGAAACAAACGGGAGGATTGAGATATCCAAAGACATTGAGTTCATAAAGACTGGCCATTGAAATAAAGGCTAAATACCATACCATTAAAATAAGACCGTATTTTGGTGTAAGTTTCCAGCCGTTCAAGTGAGTGATTACTAAGAAGAATACGACAGTTGTGAGCAGGGATATTGTCGAGTACTCCAAACCTTTATTATGTAGAGAAAGACATTGATTTTAAAGTCAAAATTAATACAAGTAATATGTACTGATAATTTTTGTTGTTTTATATACTGTATGTATTCTCTTATTTGGGGAAATATAGACTAAATAAGTATTAAACTTAAAGTCTTTTTCTGATATTTCTTAAACCTGAAATAATACAAGTAATATGTACTGATAATTTTTGTTGTTTTATATACTGTATGTATTCTCTTATTTGGGGAAATATAGACTAAATAAGTATTAAACTTAAAGTCTTTTTCTGATATTTCTTAAACCTGAAATGACACTTCTTTGTAATGCACCAAATAATACAACATTAAGTTTAAGATATTTCACATACAGTAAACCTCAAATCCTTTATAACCATTAACTAGTAAGTTAGAAAACTAACTTATACAGTCAAAATATTAGAATATTAATATTTGAATATTAATGTAAAATTTTAATATTAGTTGCTATTTTTGATCATATGGAATATTTGATTGTACGGTAATACCCATAAATGAAAAACTATTCTGATATTGAATGAAATAATCAATTATGACATACTCTTATTTATAGTTAGTTTTATAATGATATACATGTATACCTCTGCTAAGGACGGTTACATTAGATCCTGGATCAACTATAGCAGTCTTTATAAACCATGGAACTCCCAAACAAACCAATATATCAAACACATTACTGGCGATAGCATTAGTCACAGCCATATCTCCGAGCCCTTGACGAACCACAAGAAGGCTGGCGATAGCGTCGGGAATACTGGCGCCAAATGCTATGAAAACTAAACCCATGACTGTGTCGGGAATGTGTAAATTAAATCCTAAATTTAAGAATTATATTAAATGGCATTCAATTGTATTTATGATAATTTCATACCAATTAAAGTAATCATCCAAACGATAAAATATGAATAAATAGAAATCCAAACGCAAGACATAAAGAATGTGAATCCAAAGCAATTCCTTTTGCTTTCATCCCTACAGTTGGGAACAGTTATCCAATGAATTAGATTCAATGGTCTAATCAATAGATTCCACACAAGTTTGGCCTTTGATTGTGAGTCTTCTAACGATGTATCCGTTTGTCGGCACTTATCTGAAGTTATGTGCAATTGTTGATCAATTGAGTTTGTATTGTAGTCAACATTGGCACCAATGTCTATACTAGCATTAGATATGTCCACTTCATCAGAGGTTTCCGCTTCAGATAATGTCTTGTAAATGACTGAATCAGAAGATTCGCGTGAAATATTAACCAAACCATGAAATTTGTGATAAAACTTGTTATAAATTTGTTTATTATAAGCCATAAATAAAATGTAAATGACATAAATGGCCAAAAAGACAATGGATTCAATGAGTGATATCTTTCCGTCAAACATTGCGATAAAGAGGACACAAATACTAATCAAATAGAAGAAAGAGTCGCGAAGTATTGGCCACCAATTGATAACAACCACATGACCGGCAAAAAGGGCACAAATACTGATGACAAAGGCTATGTTAAAGACAGCGGATCCCACAACAGTTCCCACTCCAATGTCATCTTTAGCCACAAATACTCCTAACAGAGAAGCGGACAATTCTGGGGCTGAAGACCCGGCGGCCATGAGAGTGGATCCAGCGATGTCCGACTCTATCCATACAAATGTATTAAATAATATGTATTCAATACTTACTATGACTTTTGATATAATATATGACTAGTCATATTATGACTAGAAAAGTAGTGGCACCCAACCACCCAACCACCCAACCACCCAACCATCCACCCAAACCTAATTACCTAATTTCAAGTGATCACAAATGAGTTGCAGTGATGGCACGAAGTATTCATCACATATAAGAGCGGTTCCAATGAAGAGATAGATTATTACAAATGAAGCCAAAACTGACATAAACACTGATTTTCTTAGATTGGGTGAAATGTAAGGAAAATTAGTGATGGCAGGAGGGGTACAGTTCCTATGATCATCACTCTGCGTGCCATTACTGCCTGCATTACCAACCACTACCTCCACGTCTATTGCCTGACTGTCCACTGAGTCATGTCCACAGATTATCGCAATTAATATAACAATTACTTTTGAATACATTTGCTATCAAATCAATGGCAGTATCGATGAATACGAACTATTAATCATGAAATATTAATTTAAAGTGATTTCATTTCATGTTTTTATGTTTACACAGATTTATGCAAACATACGGTTATTATATGATTGCAATTCAAATCAATTGTTTGTCTAATAAGGAGGGAAGGGAGGAAGGATACAAGTTATCTCAAATCAACTCCAAGTTTTAAGATGAGCTAATTATTAATCGCTAATATTATATATAAAGCTACAAATAATTCTATATTTAAAAATAATTATGCTAATATTATATACAATTAGTTGATAACTAACAAATGTTTGTTAAATATGGAAATAACTTAAAATTTTATTTTAATTTTAATAACAAGAAATAACAGATATTCCCTGTGAATACAGAATATTAATCTACATAAATTACTATGGTACATATAATATAATCAAGCACTGTTAGAATATGAATGTAGAATAGTGTGTACTATACTCGTCAGTATATTACAACAGTATTACTGTTGTTAAAGTTGTTTTATATAAATGATTCTTATCATTATTAATCACATTTAACTACCATACTCTCATTTAGGGAAATGGATATTGATAATTTTGATTGTACAGTATTTTTCTACATGATATTAGTAACAATTTGCAATAATAAAAGAATCCGAATGGTCACAATTAGTATGTTTTTAATCAAGCACTGTTAGAATATGAATGTAGAATAGTGTGTACTATACTCGTCAGTATATTACAACAGTATTACTGTTGTTAAAGTTGTTTTATATAAATGATTCTTATCATTATTAATCACATTTAAGTAATATTTTTTGTATTCGTATTATTTATTATTTTAGTAAATTTTAATACAATTAGAAAAGTACATTGGCATATACGTTGAGGGAGGGGGTCAATGTTAATCTAATTTTATGTACGCGCTTTGCGAGTGATGTCTAAATGTTTATAAAAATTTAATTATCAAGTGTTTAACATTTGTATGATTTAGCAAGAATATAGTGAGATATTTCAATTGAATACATAGAAATTAATGAAATACTAAGTAATTCTAAGTTCTTATTAAAAGTAAAATTTCCATTTAATGTAATTGTATTCCAAATATTTACTCTCAAATGCATTATGCATTCAGATAACAACTGTTGATCACATTTAACATTAAACATGAAATCTAAATTTATATATACCGTAATGTAGTTCACCAACTATCTCATAGATTAGTTTTGTTTAGGTTAGAATTTTCTCACAAATTGTTAGTATTAATTTAAAGTATCTTTTCAAAAATATCAATAAATACCAAGTATAATTAAACAATAACTGGAGTTAATATTGCAAATTCAAATTATTTAATTTGGTTAAAATATTTCTAAATTAGAAAATAAATTAATAAATACAAATTAATCACTGTAGGAATTGAATATTAAGGACTTTGATACAGTATTATACATTGATATACATTTGAAATTCAATGATTTGATATAATTTATATAAATGTATTATTTATATCAAAAATATATTGAATTACTTATGATTTATTTAAATCTCTAAACAGAAAACTTTATATATTTTGATGAACATACCATTGATTTAACTTTTAGTTCATAGAGTCTGATCGATTGCCTATCGAGCCATAAGTTAATAATGATAGTATGTTTTGTTTATAAGTTGGTAATGAAATCCATGGAAACTATTGTTTCTGAATATTGAGTTATATGTTATATTAGAAATGAAGAATCCAAAGAAATAAATAGTATAATATGTATAAAAAAGATAAATCTTTGTCTTTGGTCTCAAGTGCATCTCCTTTTGATAAGAATCTGAGTGCTATTTATGATAAACAAAGTATTCATATCTGTTGTGCCCATAAGTTCCGATTTAATATAATTACTATAAACAGCGAAAACAATGAAAATTCTGAAGCAAAAGAAGTTTGTATTGAAACTGACAAAGAAGTCACTGTTGATAAGGATTACATAATCCAAGTATATAACACCATTTATACCTTTATGTTTAAGTATTTATATAATATACATTATTTTTGAATATATAATTTAACAAATAATAAATGATTTAACAAATAGATAAAATGGTTGAAATTACATGAGAAGATATTTTTGCTCATTCTTTTACACAATGGTCTTAAGGTAAGCAAATATATGCAATATGTACTGAATATTTTCTAAATAAGTTTGATATACACTATAATATAGTAACTATATCATAGTGACTATGACACTATTAATATTTATTAAACATTAAGAACATAATAAAAATGGTATTAATGTTTAATATACTGTACTATTATTGTGAATATTAAACAGATCTATGATAGCAATGGAAAGAATGTCATATTTAGTCACACATATCACACAAAAAGTGATGAAAGTGTGGAAAAAAGTTATTCCAGTGGTGTGTCAGTCCTCAATGGATCAGTTGTCTGTGTCGGTGCTAATAATGGATCCGTTCTCTTGTTTCTAATGAATGAAACCAATAAAATACAATTCGATGAGACATCTAACGAGACAATTCATAAGAGGTAATAGAAATGATTTGAAATAGACAATGAAAACTTAACTTGATAACCTGTTCTAGACCCATCACTGATTTGGTATCCGACCAACAGAATACACTCATAAGTAGTGATGATAGCGGAAAGATATGCATTTCCATCTACAAGGACTCGCGTTTACAACCAAACTCCAGTTTTGAAGGATATAATGGGTCAATAAGTTATATATTTATTCCGTTATATTACTGTTAACATCAAATAGTAGTCCACTCTTGTAATAAACCTAAAATATTACTTTATTTCAATTTAATTCAATTAGTTTCTCGTGCAATTGTTTGACGCTTTTCAAGAACTATTTGTGTGCGGGTTATGGCTCCGGGCATTTGCGGGTTTTTGATATACAAAACAAGAAAATAATTAGTGAAGTGTCGGCGCATGCAAAATGGGTCACTGCTATCGATGTGGCCCCAGAGACTGGTCTCGTAAGCTATTAATTGCATATATCATACCAACCAATTTGAACACAATTCTAACGAAATCTTATCTAATTTCCTCAAAATATATTCAGATTTTGTCCACTTCTGAAGATAGCTTTGTTAGGATTTGGAAATTATGCGAACAAAACAACTCATTAAAGGTAACTTGTTTAACATTATTACCAGTTTAAAAGTACTAATCATAATCGCACCATTAGGTGATCCATGAATTCGGTCAAAATATAGCAAATCATATGCTCTTCGGTGGTGTGTTTCTGAACACAAACGGCAAATCTTTTTGTGTCTCAGGATATGATTCAACGGAATTGCATTGTTTCTCAAAATAATTATACTAATAAATTTCAAATTACAATTATAATAATTTCAGTTACAAATTACAATTATAATAATTTCAGTTACAAATTACAATTATAATAATTTCAGTTACAAATTACAATTATAATAATTTCAGTTACAAATTACAATATGTTATAAGAATAATTTTATTGCGGTAATAATTTAATCAGTTTTATTCAAAATAACATTTATTTAAAGAATAAATAATAACATAATTAGTCAATTTGACACATTATGACAGTACCATTACTGTACACTATATGAACAATTGATGCATTGATTTAACTCTTATAACTCGTCTCTTAAATTAAAGTCCAATTTATTAATTAAATTCAAAGTCATTTGATATAAATGTGCAAAATAGTGATCATTTAAATCATTTTGTGTTTCGCTTTTTAAAAGGCTTTTCAAATCTTGAGAAATGCGTTGAAGAAGTGGTAAACTGTTTCGAAACTCTTCTTTACAAATAATATGCAGTGAATCCATGGCTTCCATTGTCTTTTCTCTGACATCATTATCGGGACATTCGAGCAAATGTGGCACTAAATCACAAAATCGTTGGCTAACTATGGCTTCATGTAATCCGATGTCTTCGTATTGTTTGACTTTAATTTGACTCAATTTATCATTTGTCGCATATTTTAAAGCCATTTGTCTTTCAATTAACAAATCGTTTAAAAGAGTCAACACTTTTGCACTCAATTTAATGGAATGAATGTCAGATTGTTTGAAGAGTTGGCTGAAGATAGAGAGAGCGCCGTATTCTTGGATGAGAGAGCTCTGGGCGCTCGGGAACTGTCGCACCAAACAGGAGATGGCAAACAACGCTCTCTTCTTGACAGTCAGCGACCGGTCGTTGACTAATAAAAGCAGAAACTCTTTCAACGCTTTTCTGTTAAACACGTGGATCTGGACCTTCGGGTTGCCATTCATAGCCGATCCCATAGTGAAGGCTACCTGTGCTCTTAACCCATCGTCCGTCGAGTTCAGGTCCGGTAATAATAAGTCGATTCCATTCATTCGGACCAAGTCTTGGCCGATGTCTATGGAGTGCACCAAATACTCCACGTCTGCTAACAAATTCAACTTCTCTTCGGTCGACGCCTCTCTATATCTTGCGATCAAAGCCTTCAAGACTT